TACCTGATCAATGTGCGTACGCTTCAATCGTTGCAGAATCCTGGAGGAGCCTCCGAGCAGCCCGGTCGTCGTGGAGGAACTTGCCGTCAGTTTCTTCAGTTTGTTGGAGACCATCTTGAGGACGGAGCACCTCGCCAGCACTTCACTGGTACTTCCATTTGGCCTCCCGAGCTTGTTAGCCTACGAGTCGAAAGCCCAAACATTGATTGCGATGGCTTCTTGCGGATGTGCGCCAGTTGGAGGAGAAAGTTCAAATGTGGCAGATGTCTCCCGCGAGCTCACTCAATGCCTGGTTTTCGTCGGCTTCCTGTTGGTCTGACTTGGTCCTCCATGCCTTGCAGTTTCTTGCAGGAGAGAGTAAAGGTAAGGCCGTGCTGTGGGAAAACCATTTGAGCATTTACTCGATATCCTCAGTCAGACTTCAAAAATTCATTTTTAAGAAAATCACAATTCATGTTTGGTTTTCGCTTCAACGCTTTACAGAAGGTGTCATGGCGCTCCCCAGCGGCTTTCTGCCATTCGTGGAATTTGTGGATGAAACGCAGCAGTGGAAGTGGATCGGTTAGAGGCATCCATGATTGACGGTCCTAATCGACACCGCGTTGGACTTTGCGGTGATTAACGTCCGTTTGCTTTATTTTAGGCCCTACTCAGGATGCAGAGAAGGACTTGATTGCACTCTGTCAACTGTGGCTGGACTCGAAAGATTTTGTGGTCAAGGTAAAGCAAATGTACTCCCAAGTAGAGATATCAATACACGTCTGTATCCATGCATTTTGTTCCTAAGTGACTGTCACCCACAGACGGAAAGCGAAGAGCTATCCGACTTAACGCCACCCATGCCGCGAGTGTAAGACTCAATCTTTGCAAATCTCACAGAATATTGGATTTGTCATTGTGAATTTTGAAATGCTTGAATATCTTTGCAGTTCCACTGATTATGTGGTGAGACCCAGCACGGGGGATGAGAGACAACTCTTCCAAATTCAGGTTTCTTAATTATTTTACTGTTTTTTTTTTTGTTTTGTTTGTATATTTATAAAAAGCACCGGTGAAAATGTCCTTTTCTTATGTTGATTAGGAGCAGCAGAGATACAACCAACCCCACAAAGCCTTCACGTTCCGCATGCATGGCTTTGAATCGGTCGTGGGGCCGGTTAAGGGAGTATTCGATAAGGAAATGTCTCTCAATAAAGCTCGGGAGCATACCCTGTTGCGCTCCAACCGCCCGCCATACGTCACCATCCTCTCTCTGGGTTCGAGCTTCGCCCCGCCGTTGCTTCATTTCTGTGTGAAAAGCAAACGGAAGCTTTGAAGCTCCTTTTCTTGCTCACAGTGCGAGACGCAGCAGCCAGGCTACCCAACGGAGAGGGAACTCGGGCAGAAATCTGCGAACTGCTGAAGGACTCGCAGTTTCTTGCCCCCGACGTCACAAGTGCACAGGTAGGGAGGAACACTGGGACCGGTGTTTCTTTTGATCGCCTCTTTATTCAGCCGTGGACTGGTTCTTGTGCCGTCTAGGTGAACACAGTCGTCAGCGGGGCTCTGGATAGACTGCACTACGAGAAGGACCCTTGTGTCAAGTATGACATCGGCCGCAAACTGTGGATTTACCTGCACCGTAACCGCAGTCAAGAAGAATTTGGTGAGCAACAATCTAGAGGTGGCATTGGAGCAGCAGGCAATCATTCGATAAGGAAAGCCATTGTTGACAATGCTCATTCAAGCTTTAAATCGGAAATTTGGCTATTAGACCAAAAGTGGGAACATAGCTTTGGGGTTTTTTTTTTTGCTGTTAATTGTTTCTCATCTCTCATCCAGAGAGGATCCACCAGGCTCAAGCGGCTGCCGCAAAAGCAAGAAAAGCACTGCAGCAGAAGCCGAAACCTTCATCCAAACCTGTGAGACAACCACCCTGTCATTTACAGTACATTTTCATGATGCTGTTGAACTAGTGCAAATTTCGTTTTCGGTTTGGAGTGGCAAATTGCATTGTGGTCCTCAAATCTCTTATTTGATTTTGGTAGAAATCTGGCAGTAAAGAGGGAGGCGCTAAAACCGCTGGATCTTTGGAAGCAGGGCAGGATATTGGTTCCAGTCCCATGTCACCAACACCCTTGACACCGACCCCAAACACTCCTGGGACCCCAAAGTCACCTTTGCCCTGCACGGTCACTACGCCAACTAAGACCACCGTCCCGGATGCAATTAAATCCAGCCCAGGGTGCGTTTCTTCTTCTCCCTGTCGTGCAGCAACGACCCTTTTGACCTCAACTCAACCCGTGTCTCTTGCAGCGTTCTCCTGGTGTCTCCCCCCTCCTTGCCCCAACTGGGCTCGGTCTTACCCGTCAGTCAGTCTGGACCAGCCGCATCTCAGCCCGTCAATTCCCAACACGCGGCCCGAATCGTGAGTCACCTGGCGGCAGGCTCCCTCCCTCAGGTGCGCGTTGTCTCCGCTCAGCCCGGACTGGGTTCTCCATCAGGAAGTCAGCAAGCTGCTTTGGTCCATCAGAGCCCTCATCAGATTCGAATGCCGGTATCTGTGGCAACCAAAAGCATCTCACAGGTAAAAGGATAAATGATGAGAAGACGTCGTGTGTTCTTAACATGGAAATTACCTCCACGTGGGTGCATTTTGTGTCGAAAACAGGCAGTTGTGTCCATGCCTATGAGGAGCCAGTCCGCCAGTCCTGTGCAGGTGTCCAACACGGTGTCGGTTTCCACCGCAGCTGTGCCTAGACCTCAGACTGTGTCACCTAGCAGCCCAGCCAACATCCCTGCATCATCGCCGGCTGTCTTGCAAGGAGTCGCCAGCCAAAACATCAAACAGGTTAACCATAAGTCATGTTTTTCTAAACAGGAAAAATTCATGACTTCACTGCCCAACGTAATTTGAGTGTCTGCCATTGATATTGCCAACTGTTTGGGTTGTCGTGGAAGAATTAAATGAAAGGTGAAGTCAAGTCACCATTTTTTGCTTCCAAGGTGTCCATCACTGGCCAGTTAGGAGTGAAGACCCCAGGTGCAGCGGGAATTCCGCTTACCGCCACAAACCTGCGCATCCAGGGGAAAGATGTCTTACGCCTTCCACCCTCCTCCATCACCACGGATGCCAAAGGCCAGACGGTACTGCGGATCACGCCGGACATGATGGCCACGCTCACCAAATCTCCCGTGGCGACAGTCAAACTCACGCCCGACTTCCTGGGCACGACCGCCGCCGGCGGTAGCAAGAGCATCTCGGCCACTCTCCACGTCACGCCCCCTCACCCGTCCGTCTCCGCCCCCGCGTCCTGCACCGGGGAGGTATCCTCCGCCAAAACCACGCCCCTGGCTTCCACCCTGCTTAAGGCTGCGGGAGACACGGCCATCCGCCTCATGCCCACTTTGGGCGTTACCATGGCCGACCAGAAATCTCGGACTTTCTCCACCGTCAGCTCTCCGGATAAGAGCGGCACCACCATCCGTATCATGCCGGGACTCGGGGTGATTCCGCAGAAGCAAGGTCAGACCATCACCATGACGTCCGCCGGCAGCAGCAAGCCCGCGACGGTATCCGCCGGCGGTAACGTCATGACCGTTGCTGGCGCGAAAGGCATCACGGTGGCTTCCGGAGCCTCGGCCTCTCCTCTGAAGCTGGGGGCGGCCACGGCAACCATGCGCCAGGTACCCGGCCCTGTGGTCAACGCACAGACGGTAAGAGAGTTCATTAGGTGCCACATTATAACAAGTATAACGTTGAGCAATCTTTTTGTCATTTTGCAAGCAGCAAGATTCCAATGCAAAATGAGATTTTCACCTTGTTATAGGGCAAGTTACCCGCCCGCATCACCGTTCCTCTCTCTGTCCTCAACCAACCACTGAAAAGTAAAAGTGTGGTGACCACACCGATTGTGAAGGGGAGTCTCAACACAAAGTAAGTCTCTGCATGATGCACCGTGTTCAATATTGAGCTGATCAACTTACGTGATCTTGTCTCTCGCCCCCCTTTCGCCTCTCGCTTCTCAGTATCAGCAGCTTGGGTCGAAACATCATCCTAACCACCATGCCTGCGGGCACCAAGTTGATTGCTGGGAACAAACCGGTCAGCTTTGTCACCGCGCAACAGTTCCAGCAGCTTCAGCAGCAAGGACAGGCCACACAGGTTGGTGAGCAACTTTCACGAGGAAGCAGATACGGTGCATTTAGTCATCACCGTGTTCAGACACTTTTTTTCACATTTGGCAGCAATTACAGCCACAAGTCGTAGATGACGTACCTCAGTAGCGGCTCACTTCCGTGAGCGGTATTAAACGCTCACCTTCCGCTTCTTCAGGTTCGCATCCAGACAGTGCAGGCACAGCAGCTCCAGCAGCACATGGCGGCAGCTTCCCCCAAATCTGTCTCTACGGTCGTCGTCACCGCGGCGCCTTCGCCAAGATGTCCACCCGATCTCCCACCAGGGCCTCCTCAGTGATCTGAGCTCGCCATCTTTCGTCCTCAGTTATTTGTGTGTTTCTGTGATACTGGCTTTTTTCAGTGTGTAATTTTTTTCCGTGTAGCTCAAAAGCACGTTCGTATTTAGTTCTCTGTTCGAGTGCATTAATCACTTTTTTTTTTTTTTGTGACATTCAACTATATTTCATCAATTTCATTCCCCTTCATGTTGAAGCCAAGATGTTAAATTATGAGTTCTATATTATCACTGATTAAATCTCACAACTTCACTTTGTTTGCATTTTGTTATATTTTAATGATTGACAACATTTAAAAAACCTCATTTACTTTTTTTGATCATCACAGGTAGAGTAAAAGTAATTAAAATGTAAAAGGCCAGGCAAGTGGTTAGCAAGTCTGCCTCACAGTTCTGAAGTTTGGCATTCCTTTTTGTGGAGCTTGCATGTTGTTCCCGCTTGCGCTGGTTTTTCTGTAGATGCTCTGACTTCCTCCCACATTCCAACATCATCGAAGACTCAATTGTCCATAGGAGTGTGAAATATCGTTCGTCTAAAAGTGACAAGCTGTTGACTGATGACCGGTCCTCCTGCTCAACGTTAGATAGGAGAGGCTCAGCTCACTTGTGAATCTAATAAGGCCAAGCAGGATAAAAATTTGATAGAAATATGGTTTTGGGCAACCGGATCCACTGTGTGCATTTCAGACCAGAATAACATCAGATTAAAAACAAAAAAATAAAGCCTCAAATTCAGTTAGGCTAGTCCAGTGCAAATACAGTCCTCATTTTTCTCACAACAAACATTTTAAAGCCGTTACTCCTCTTCTGACTCTTCAAGCAAAGCTTTCTCAGAGTTCGCGGTGGATGACTTTTTTCGCATCACCATCTCGATGTCCCGCGCTCTTCTGGACATTCTCCTTGTGGTACTTTGAGAACAAACAAAAAGAGGCGAAAAGCCGGTGACACATTTACAAGCAACCTTTTTGTAGTAGGATGGACAAAACACATCGTGCTAACATCTTATAAGGTGCAATTCGATGACATGATCAATGTTGGACCATTTCATGAAAGAAAAAAAAAATGTACCGGTAGTCACATTATAGGGTTGTTTTAATTAAAACGAAATACGTATTTTAGTTCATGTAAAAGTCCTATAAAATCAAGCACAGCTATCAGGAAGAAAACAATACAGTTTTACAACAATAACAAATAATATTAATAGTAGTAGTAGTAATAATAAAGACTGTTCAATAATAATCTCCTGAGGCAAATTGCGCAGATGGCAAAAAGACTGAGATACTCACATCCAAACTGCAGTCGAGGTGCAGGTGGCAACAAACAAAGCCAGCACCAAATGCCAGCAGAAGCACATGGTGACAAACATGATGTTGTTGTGCAAAGTCAAGTCCCACTGCGGGCCACTCGGCGGGTAAAGAACAAAACCGATCTGGAATGAGGTTCCAAACACGGCTGTAAGCAACAAAGCACTTAGGAAAGGTGTTGATAATTAACTACAACTGATCCCCACTTGACCAACTTTCTTTGTCCTTTCATCTGACTTTGATTTCTACGCGACTTAACATCCGTCGCAATTTTTATTTACCCTTGGCCGGACATTTTGCCATCAGTTCAATATTACATTTAGAGGCCCTAAACTCTGGAATGACTTTGACCTTTGAGATCAATATCCTCCTCCGCAGCCGTTAAAAAGTCACTTTAACCACCGTGAATCTTGTCCTAAGTTTTCATATTTTAGCCCTTCACTGTAATGAACTCTCAATTCTGCATTTCGGTTTCGGTTAGTCTGTTTTGTTAACATTTTATTTCATTCAGTCTCTTCACTTGTACTCTTCATCCAGGAATGTTTCATATCAATTTTCCGAGGGGGGGGGGGGGGCAACAACACCCCAA